CACGGCGGGAGGGGGGGGGTTAAAAGAAGTCTGAAAACGTGTGACGTTTTATATGCCCGACCCCTAAGAGCAAAGATGGGAAATCTTCTTTTCAAAGATACACAGTTGTACTAATAGTGTATATTCATACATTACACTTATTAATTGTCATTTAATTGTAATTTTGAAAATTGAAGATACAATTTTCAGATTTTTTCTTTCGCTTTTATAATGCCTATTTGACAGCTAAGCAAAAATTAGAAGAAAAAACCTTCTCACATGCTGTTGGCTGTGTGTTTCATAATTCTAAAGATTGGGAAGGTAGAAGAGCTGCCAAATCTAAAAAAGACAGTCAAAAATAAAACTAATAAATTTGGCTCTATGGAATTTTAGTAGGAGTAAAAAAAAGTGATGATTTCAAAGATTGAGAAGCTAGAGGAGCTGCTCCATGTAAAAAAGATATTAAAAAAGCAAAGTGGTGCTTTTCTGTGATTTTATTAGAGATAAAAAAAATGTTTTCCACTTGATAGAAAACTTTATAATAAACTAATATTAAAAAATCTCGATTTTTTTACTTAATTTATTTTCCAATTAATATTACTTTAGGGCTGAAACACTTTCCAGTATTATAAATTCTAGGTGATAGAAGTGCCCCCTTGCAATGTGTCTTTGCATCCTGAAAAAGTTATAAATTTAAAATTCCATGTTGATAGAATATTATTATTTAAATCTAGTTCTAAGGAGTTTTGGTCTATGCTAAGTAAAATTTATGTTAAAAATATATTTTATTACAAACCTTTTATTATCACTGTACATTTTGGTATAGGAAAGCCAAAATCAGCGCTAATATTTTGGCAAGACTTTGTTCTTGAGTTAAAAAATTAATTGAAAAATTGTATTATCATTGAAAACATTTAATTCCAAGTTAATATTCACTTTTTTTTGCGATTGACCTGCTCGATCGTTTGTCAAATCTATCAAAGGCCGTACGGGGAATTCCTCATGCGAGCGATGTACTGTAAGAGGGGAGTACTATAAAAGTCGCATGACATTTAAGCTTATTGATTGTCCAAAAAGAACAAATGAATCTTTTAGATTAAAAGCTGATCCAGACCATAATCTTATCAATCAAGTATCTCCGTTAATTGAAATCGATGAAATTGATTTAGTCAATCACTTTGTCCTTGATTTCATGCATCTTGCATAATATCTTAGTGTGACAAAAAAGTTATTAGACTATTGGATTTCTTCAAAAGAATATAAACTTTCAAGGAATCATTTACTGCAAATCTCTCAAAGGTTCATAAACTCATCTGATCAAATCCCCAGTGAGTTTCAAAGATCCACTAGATCTTTGGGAGATACTCAGAAATGGAAAGCCACAGTGTACAGACTTTTAATTTTGTACAGTGGAATTTTTGTTTTAAAAGATATTCTGCCAAAGTTGTTGTATGAACATTTTTTATTATTTCATGTAGCGCGTACGATACTTTCATCTCCAATACTGTGTGTAAAATATGTGGATCATGCTCATTATTACCTTCAAATACTTACAACATCGTTTGGTCAAATTTATGGACAAGATTCTTTAGTATCTAATGTCCATGATTTAACTCACGTTGCTGATTATGTAAAATTTATGAACTGCTGTATTAGTGACATCAGTGCTTTTGAATTTGAGAGTGCCTTAGGAACCATAAAAGACTATTTAAACAGTGGATATAAGCCATTTACTCAATTATGCAATAAGATAGAAGATACATTTTTTATTAATGATGAAAAAAATTGGTACAATTCAGATTGCAAAATTATAAAATCAAAAGAAGTTGATGGTACTACTAATGTTGAAAAAGTTTCTTACAAAGGTTACACTTTCAGTACAAAAGAGCCAAATAATATCGTATTGACAACCGATTCAAAAATCATTAAATTAAAAAAAATGATTTTACTTCCAAAAACTTCACTTGAAAATATTGAAGTCAAAAGACAGATGCTAGATATTATTGGACCAGCCTCTACTTATCCAACAAATGCAGCATATCTTCATACTTATGCAGTAAATGATGATAAAAATATTGATATTAAAATAAAATTGAGTGTTGTAATGAGTGAAATGTTATTGATAAAGATTTTTAAATTACCAGATGATAAACCGGAGCTTTAAGTAGTAACATTTTTACATTAGACTTAAAACTTATACTTAAACTGTCAAATTGTAATTATCATAATCTAAATGTGCATATTTAAGGACGTTTTATAAATATCTCTGAAAATTGAATATAATGTTTTTATTATGGTATTGTATCATGCAAAAAAATAGGCAAATTCTACAGACTATTTTC